GGTCACACAGTGTCGGGTAGTCTTCGTTCCTCTGGGATCTCACAGTCTTCGCTCCTCTGGAGTTCCGTGGTAGGTGGCTGGCTGTTGTTCTTCCCGGGTCTCTTCCAGGTCCTTCTGCCGGTGGAACCCCGTCTGGCTGCAGCGTTCTCCCGTCTGGGGGCCTCACTCTCGCGCGGAGTCCTCGCTCTCGACTGTGTGGTTTTATGTACTAGGAAAAGCTACCCAGATTTATGCAAAGTTATTAAAGTAGAAAATATAAAAATATCATAAATTCTTATATTGTTAAATAAATTAGGTTATAGCACATCTATACATTTGTGTAGTGGAGCTATCAAAATAATGTAGAGTTTTTCTGATAAGAAAATTGCTTACAATATAATCACAAAGGAATAAAAATATTTTGTATAATATTATTTCTATTTTATTTATAGGTGGGGGAAAGGCAAATAACAATTAAGAGCAACTTATATTTTGAGTGAAGTATCCCAAGTGATTATTATTTCTCTCAATACTTTATTTTCTACATAACCTTATGTGCTGTAATCAGAGAAAATAATTTTTACACAGTTCTTAGGGATTGCAGCGCAGCTTCTTTCCAGTTGACCACAGTTTAACACAGTTTTTAAAAGTGACAATTATTTGTAATTTTTTAATGACCTATATTGTTTAATAATGAAGAAATGGATCACAGCATTGTAGTAATGCCATCATTTACGTTTCTAGACAGGCCCTTACAACCTGGAAACCTGCCTGAGTGTGGTATTGCTGTCTCTTGCCATGGTCATGGCTGGCTCAGGGAACCTCAAGGTGCTGCAGCTTTGCCGCTTCTTGCACATGAAAACAGGAGGAGAAATGAACTATGGTTTCCACTTAGCTCACCACATGGCCCTCGGGCTTCTCTTTTTGGGAGGAGGAAGGTAAATGATGTTTTAAATCTATATTTTTCTATGAAATAACCTCATAAGCAAGCTAAGGCTTATACGTAAGAGTGGCTTATTTTGATTTTGAAGATACATGAAAATTTCAAGATTATTCTGAGAGGTTGTTACCAGTATACTCAGTAGCAGTGTAGCCGTTTAAAGAAACTTTGAACTGTCAGTTTAGATTACCATTCTGCTACATTCTTAGCATCTCTTCCTTTCTTCTTACACAGGGGTCATGCTAATCTTATCTGTATCATTCCAACTTTAGTGTATGTGCTGCCAAAGCGAGCACTATCATCTTTTCATTTCTCAGCAGACTCTGTCCTGCAGTCAGAGTCTTTGGTGCATTGCTCCCTATTCCCTACTGTTTAATTTTTTACCTTTCTGAATTTTTACCTGTCTACTGAAATTGCCCTCTCAAAAAGGTCTTGAGGAATCCTACCCTGTAACATTTTCTTCGTTTTTAACTTCCTTACTGTCTTTGCAGTATATATTATGGCTGGCTATGCCATGTGGTAAAGCTGTCCTGGCTTTGAATGATCTCTGTTGAGCAGAAGTACATGTAATAATACATTCTCATGAACTGTCCACAGTATGAAAATCTTTATTATCATGTAGATGACTCATCTCTGAGTCTGCCATGTGTGCCCTTCCTGTCAACTTACCTCTCCACAGAGGGATCCGCTATTTAGTTTCCTAAGGCTTTAACTTCATTTTGCCTGGTTTTGAAATCTAAGTGAAACTATGAACTGTGTACCATTTTGTGCCTTTCTTCTGTTACTCAGCATTATGTGTATGAGAGTCATCCATCTTGCATAAAGCGATCATTTAGGTTTCCGTACTCACGTTGCTATTTGCTGTCATTTGCCTTTTTCCCACTAGTTTGTACCTACCTTCAGCGTAGGCACCTTCTTGGGTTTGACTTTCAAGTCCATTGCTTTTTACAATTACCTGGCACATAATAGCACCTCAGAATATGTTTTATAACTGAATATATGGGCAGATTAGAAAGAAATGGATACCTAGCATTACATGGGGATTTGGACTATATGTGTAATTTTTTTATTTAATCAGTGAGAAGATTTTAAGTGAAAAAAAATTTAGCTTAATTGAACCTAGGAAAAAGAAATTATCCATTTCATTCAGAAGGCATTTGTTTGTTTTAGGTCTATCTTAATAAAGACTTGCCTCATTCCTAAGTGCATTGCTTAAGAACAAGCATAAATCTTACGATCATGATTTCTGAAACCAATGTCATTACCCTCTTCCTGTAGTTACTGTCTTAGTGAGTGACCACAGTCATTTACCATGTATCGCTAGAAACTTTAGTATCATTTTTTATGAGTTCCTTTCCCTCACTCTGCTTCCCTCTCTCTAGATGTTTGAACAGTCACCATATTGATTTTCACTGCTTTCTGATTTCCACTTTCTCCCTCTTTGCCATGGACTTCATTTGGGCCTCTACCATGCCTTTCCTGGCTCATCAGAATAGGTATAATCCGATCCTTAGTCTTGGTTTTGTCTCCTCTCTGACCATTTACCTCCTCTCTCAGCTGTTGTTATTTGTTATCAAAACTGATGCAACACCAATTGTATATTTCCTTGACTTTGCAATTGGTCTTACTTCTACCTATTTGTAGCTCTTGCCCTTTGATCTGACTTACAAAATTAACACACAGTTGGATCTGTCTTTTTTTTGTTTTGTTTTGTTTTTTTGTGGTCCCAAAGGTGCTTGGATCTGTCTTTTCTATGGGTTGTTGTTGAATATCATTAATTCAGAATGAACCCATAGCTGACTGCCTAGCAGGTTTTCAGAGGCAGTAAACCTCATGAAAAGAGATTGCTCATCTTTGTCCTGTGGAACAGTTGGTGGATTCAAACTCTGTACTTTTGGGTTGACAGTGCAATTCTTCACCACTAAGCCACCAGAATCCCTTCCTGTGGGTGTCCACCCCAGATTTTCCCCCAACAATTGATCACTTCCTCTGTCATTCTTACTGTGCTGTACACATATTCTTGTCAGCAGTGATTTTCATACTGTGCTCCATGGAAGTGCAGTATGAAAAACACTCTTTAATGCTCTGTGACCTTTACTGTTGATTCACAGTGTCTTCATTTTTCTGTTTGAATTATTTGAAGGAAGTGACTTTAAAACAGAAAACTGAAACTGTTCTAAATCTTCTCCTACAGAATTTTGATTTATACAGAAAACCTACAGATTCTTGAGTTGTTGTTGGGTTGTTTCCTAAAAATATTTTAAATTTTTTTCAGTGCTGAAACTAGTTGAAGAACCTGAGTTAAAGTAGTTATGATTATTATGTACTATATCATCTGATCCACTAGTGGATTTTCAGACTTTATAATCACATGGGAAGAGATTCTTTGGGTTGGCAGTGCAAATCCTTATCCTCTCAGCCACCAGAGTTCCCTGGTTAAAATAGAGGTTATAAGAAGTTCTTAATGGTGCTGTTAAAAATATTTGGAATTTGAAGAGCTTGAAAGACAAATGTCAGTGGAAAGGCCGTAAGAAGCTGAGTGACAAGAACACATAGGCACAGAACAACTTCAGATCTATTTTAGAGCAAAAGTAGCAGAGTTTGACAGCTTTCACCAATGGTGAAAGACGTCTCTATGCCCACAGAGAGAAGATAACCAATAGATAAAAGGAAAAGTTACTGTGAATGCAGAGGTCACAGTGCAGACATGTTCGAAATCACTCCATGCAAATATGTGTTGACTCACATGGGCCCAGACTTGAATGGATGCCCTGGAATCACTACTTGTGGACAGAAAGAAGGCCCAGTTCCTACACAACATCTACTGTAATAAAAGAGAGAATATTCCTAATTAAACATGAAATGTCATCTTTATTAGTATGTATATTCCATTTTTAGAGACATTAATACATGCAAAAGTATGCAATTTAAAATCAGGAAAAATAACAGTAGCTACTTCTGCCATATCTAGCTTTTGTGAACATATAAGGCCAGTCAGAATGTAGCTTGGTAAATTACACATTTTCAGTATTTGTCCTTGTCTAAAAGTGCCAGAGAATGACAATAAAATAATAATGAAAAGCCTTATTTGAGTTATTTTTAGTGCTTTTTTTCCTGCCTTAAAATCATAGAAAAATAAAATCAAATAGTTCTGAAGCTTAAAAATCAATTCATGAGCGTTGTATCAAGTTCTTCTTGCATTATTTTATAACATGGGCTTTGAATGTATGTTGTTGAGAGTGAAGAAAATTATTTTTGCTATAGTGATATATGAAGTTACTATTTTTAATTATGTGTATGTGCCAAAATATATGTATTTTCATTTCTAAATTTTGACCTCTCTTCCTGATTCATTAAATATGTATGAAATAGTGATAATCACTAAGTTCTTACTTGATACTTAGATGATTATTAAAAGAGAAACAATTTGGAGGTGTATGTGTATGTACATGTATGTTTGAAGTGTCTGTTGGTTTGTTAGTGATCATGTGACAACAGAACAAAAAAATTGCCCAGTCTTTTGATCTCCTCCAAAGTGCTTTATTCCTATTACGGGGGGGAGGGGCTCTCCCGTCTAGTTTTGGGTCCTTAGGCCTGCGGCCCTCGGGTCAAGAAACAAAAGTTGTACACTGGCCCTGGAGGACACATTCTCTCTACTAGGGAAGCCATCTGCTTGCATCAGCACCAGGCTGCAAATGGAAGACAAGTGGTATTAACCCACAAGAAGTCAATCCTGGAGTAGAAGTTTAAGAGCCCTTTTTCTCAGGATCTTTCAGGAAAAGAAGCTGTACATGACAGTTGTACTTAAGAACTTTAAATTGACGTCATACTGACCGCATCATAAGAGACTGACAACAGCATGATATGGTCAGAATCAGAGAAATCCTAATGCTTGAGACTTAGGACATCACATCAGGGGCTGGTGAATCGGAGACGGGTGTTGAATGTTGTAAGCAAAAGTAGGAAGGGTTGGTGGTGGAGTAGGGAAAAGGTGGATTAAAAAACAACAACAACAACAAAAAACCCCAAACCAACCAAACATGTAGCTGGGTGGGCAGCAACGTTGAATATTGGTCTTTGTAAGTGGTAAATGTCTTTCATCTACTCTTTTCTGTAGAATGCTTGTCTGTCAGATACTATTATATATTTTTAAAAATTGAGACAGACTAGGAAGAAGGATTGGCCATCCACTTCTGAAATTACAGGCTTTTGAAAACCCTATGTACAATAGAGCACACTTAGATTATCATTTGGACTAACAGACATGGCAATTGAAACTGAGATCTTAGAAATGGAAACACAAAGAAAGAGAAACAGCTGTAAGGAGACACTAGTAATTGGAACGTGGAATATGAGAAGCATGAATGTAGGAAAATTGGACATTGTTAAGAAAGAAATGGAATGCATAAATATTGACATTCTAGGTATTGGCGAAATGAGATGGCTTGGCATGGGACATTTTGAATCAGATGATTATATGATTTACCATGCAGGGGATGAAAAGGTGAGAAAAAATGGGGTTTAATAATTAAAAAATCATTTCTAGATCTATTTTGAAATAACTGTGGTGAGCGACAGGATAATATTCATACACATACAAGGAAGTCCAGTGAATGCCACTATCATTCAAATATATGCGACAACAACTAGAGACAAAGAAGAGGAAATAGAAGATTTTTACCAACTTTTGCAGTCAGAAATTGATCAAACATGCAATCAAGGTGCATTAATAATAATGGGCGACTAGAATGCAAAAGTTGCGAGCAGGGAAGAAGGATCAGTAGCTGGAAAACATGGGCTTGGTGAGAGAAATGAGGCTGGAGATAGAATGAAAGAGTTCTGCACATTCGATGATTTATTCATTGCAAATACCTTTTATAAGAAACATAAATGCAGGCTATACACATGGATTTCACCTGATGGTATACATAGGAATCAAATAGATTACATTTGTGGAAAGATTTGCTGGAGAAGCTCAATATCAGCAGTGAAAACCAGGCCGGGTGCTGACTCTGGGACAGACCACCAACTACTCATATGCAAATTCAAGCTGAAGCTGAGGAAAATTAAGTCAAGTCCACGGGAACCAATATTTGACCTTAAGTCTGTCCCACTCGAATTTCAAAACCATCTCAAGAACAGGTTTGAGGCCTTGAGCACCAATGAGCGTAGACCAAATGAGCTCTGGGAGGCTATCAAGAAAATCATCCGTGAAGAATGCAAAAGATTATTACAGAGGCTAAAGAAGAAGAAGAGACCAAGGTGGATGTCAGATGAGACTCTTGAGTATTGCATTAGAGCGCCGAGAAGCCAAAGCTAAAGGAAGAAATCAAGAAAGAGCTGAATAGAAGATTTCAAAAGGCAGCTCGGGAAGACAGAGTAAGATACTATAATGAAATGTGCAAAGAGCTGGAGTCAGAAAATCAAAAGGGCCAGACTCGCTCAGTGTTTCTTAAGCTGAAGGAGTTGAAAAACAAATTCAAGCCAAGGGAACCAATACTTAAACATAGTTTGGGTAGAATGTTGAATGATCCAGGAAGTATCAAAAGAAGATGGAAGGAGTACACAGAGTCACTGTATTAGAAGGAATTGGCTGACACAGCAGAATTTCATGAAATAACATATGAGCAAGAACCTATGGTGATGAAGGAGGAAGTTCAAGTTGCTCTGAAGGAATTGGCAAAAAACAAGGCTCCAGGAGTTGACAGCATACCGATTGATTTATTTCAACAAACACACACTGCCCTGGATGTGCTCACTAAGTTGTGCCAGGAAATCTGGAGGACAGCCAGCTGGCCAACTGACTGGAAGAGATTGATATTTGTTCCCATTCCAAAGAAAGGTGACCCAACAGAGTGTGGAAATTATAGAACAATATCATTGATAACACATGCAAGCAAGATTGTGCTGAAAATTATCCAAATATGTTTGGAACAATATGTCAGCAGAGAACTGCCAGATAGATGTGCAGGCTGGATTTAGAAGAGGTCATGGTACTAGGGATAATATAGCTAATGTTAGATGGATCTTGGCAGAAAGCAGAGAATACCAGAAGAATGTGTATCTGTATTTCATTGCTATGCAAAGGCTTTTGACTGTGTGGATCACAACAAGCTATGGCTGTCTCTTAGAAGAATGGGAATCCCAGAACATTTGATTGTGCTAATGTGAAACCTATGCTTAGACCAAGAGGCAGTCATCAGAACAGAGCAGGGACACACTGGATGGTTCAAAATCAAGAAAGGGTTCCCTCAGGGATGTATTTTGTCTCCATACCTTTTCAATCTGAACACAGAACAGATCATCTGAGATGCTGGGCAGTACAAGGAGGAATGTGGCATCAGGATTGGTAGAAGAATCATCAACAACCTGTGTTCTTCAGATGACACAACCCTGCTCACTGAAACTGAGGAGGACCTGAAGCGCTTGCTATAGAATATAGAAGGTCAAGGACTGCAATCTTCAATATGGATTGAAGCTCAATATCAAGAAGACAAGGATTCTTAACACTGGGCCAGTTGGCAGCATCAGTTTGGATGGTGAAGAGATTGAGATAGTTAACAGTTTTAGTTTACTTGACTCCACAGTCAACACTCTTGGTAACAGCAGCCAGGAAATCAGGGACGAATTGCATTGGGAAAGTCAGCTGTGAGGGACCTCTCAAGAGTACTGAAGTGCAACGACATCAGGCTGGAGACTAATGTGCCCCTGATGCAGGGTATAGTCTTTGCAGTTACGTACTATGCATTAGAGAGTTGAACAGTGAATAAGGATGATAGAAAGAGAATTGATGCCTTTGAGTTGTGGTGCTGGAGAAGAGTGTTGAATATACCATGAATTGCTAAGAGAACAAACAGGTTTGCCATAGAGAGGGTGAAGCCAGAATGTTCCCTGGAGTCAAGGATTCTGAAGCTTCATTTGACATATTTTGGGCATGTTGCAAGGAGGGACTGGTCCTTGGAGTGGGACATTATGTTTGGGAGAGTAGAGAGAGGAAGACCCTCGATGAGATGGATCGATTCTGTGAGTGGAGTGGTGGGAATGAATGTGTTTGAGATAGCGAGGTTTGCACAGGATAGAACGGCGTTTATGGCTCTTATACATAGGGTTGCTATGAGTCGCAATCGACTCGATGGCACATAGCAACAACAACAACCACCCTTTTTTCACCCCAACGTGTGTGTACATGCAAATACAGATGCATACACATATATATTACAGAAGTGATATATGTATATATATTTTATAGAAGTGATGTTCTGTACCATCTATTTAAAAATATTTTCGAGGAAAAAGCTAATTGCTAGGGGCAATTTCCTTGCTTCCTGTTTAATTTTTTTTTTCTTTCAGTACTTTATGTTTTACTTCCCATCCCATAGGATGGCTGTTACTTCCAGAATGATAGATATCTACAGAATTATTTAAACCTTCTAAGTTTGCTCGGCTCCACAGTCAACACTCTTGGCACCAGCAGTCAGGAAATCAAAAAGCGTATCGCGATGGGAAAGTCTGCCGCTAGGGACCTCTCTAAAGTACTCAGGAGCAACGGTGTCTCTCTGGAGACTAAGGTGCGCCTGATACAGGCCATGGCCCTTGCAGTCGCTTGTTATGCATCAGAGAGCTGGACAATGACTAGGGAGGACAGAAGGAGAGTGGATGCCTTCGAGCCGTGGTGCTGGAGAAGAGTACCGAATGTACCACGGACTGCCAGGAAAACAAACCGATTCATCCTGGAGAGGATTAAACCAAGCTACTCCTTGGAGGCAAGGATTCCGGGGCCTCGCCCGACATACCCTGGACATGTTGCCGGGAGGGATGGGTCCTTGGAGAGGGACACCACGCCTGGGAGGGTGGAGGGACAGCGCAGGAGGGGAAGACCCTCCATGAGATGGATTGATTCGGTGACTGGGGTAATTTGGATGGGCGTGTCAGAGGCAGCGTGGCTGGCGCAGGATAGAGCAGGGTCCAGGGCTGTTGTGCATAGGGTCGCCATAAGTCGCAAACGCCTCGATGGCACGTAACAAGAACAACAACAATGCTGACTTCAGGAAGACAACGAGCTCCAATCATACGACTCAGTCTCTATTCATTAGAGCTTTTGTTGTTGTTGTAGTCATGTGCCATAAAGTCACCCGCAACTCATAATGACACTATGCACAAGAGCTCCGAATGCCGCTCCATCCTGTGCCAACCCCGCCATCCCAGACGCACTCATTCCCACCACTCCAGTCACAGAATCCATCCATCTGATCAAATGTCTTCCTCTCCTCCGCTGTCCCTCCACCCCCCCAAGCGTTATATTCCTCTCCAAGGACCAATCCCTCCCCGAAACATGCCCAAAATATGTCAAACAAAGCCCCAGAATCCCTGACTCCAAGGAGCATTCTGGCTTTACCCTCTCCAGGTTCCTGTTTAATTTTGAGTAATAGTAAAATAATCCAAGGAATATTTTTTAAAGATCATTTGCTAGTAGGGTGTGGCCTTTGCAATTTTTTTTTTCCTATCACATTGAAAAGAAAAACTATTTTATTTTTCACACATTTCTCATAAGTTTGTGCGATAACTTTTGCTTCAAGCTTCCCTCTGGTGGAAAATAATTGTTTAAGATAGCCAGTATAAAAACCTATGTTTTTTTAAAGTCAAGTTCACATTTCTGTAAATAAAGTAATATAAAACTAGAGAAGAACTTGCTGTACTCTATATATGATTCTTCCAGCATTTATAATGTCCCGGATTGTGGTCAAGTCCCATCATCACCTGTGTATTCATTTACGTTAAGCCTTTGCTTAAGTCAAGTTTTAAAACTTAACATTTGTGGAATGATCTTCAGCATCAAATACAAAGTGATTTAAGGACTACCTGAAAAGTAAACTGTTTCACTATTCCTACATTCATCAAGGCATCAATATGCCTTGCCACATTTTCCAAGTTTCAAGAATGCTTTGAAAGTGTGCACATTGTAACTAATCCTGTGTTCTTCCCTTTTGGATTTGTCCTGCAGGTACTCCCTGAGCACATCTAACTCTTCCATCGCAGCTCTTCTCTGTGCCATTTACCCACACTTCCCGGCTCACAGCACCGACAACCGGTGAGTACAGCCATGTTTTCCTGGCTGTCGACAGGATGCGGACTTAAGCATCATCTTCCTTAAATGCTCTTTGGACAGAATTGTGTTTTAGTTTCACGTTAGAAAAGCATGTTGATAAAGTGGAGATGCTTTCTCTTCTGAAGAATTAAAAGAATAAAAAAAGATATGGCCGTGTTCCTTGTTTTGGAAGAAGTATAACCAGAACCAGTTGTTTTATTTAATTTCAATGCCAAATCCAGGACTCCTTTCCCAATTAGTGTTGCTTTGTTCTTGTTCCTGGAGCTAGTGTTTTTTTTTTTTTTTAAAAAAAATTCTCTTGTAAAAATTTGGATCCAGAGAGAATTGTGAACATCTGACTACTGACAATTCTTTTTCAATTCTCAAATCTGTAGAAATATTTTAAACCCATAGCCCAGGATCCCCTGCCAGCTAGTTGATTTTGATTTCAGGCCACCCTATAGGACAGAGTTGCTGCCCTTTAAGATCACTGAGGCTGTGAATCTGCTTTGTGGAGGCAGATTGCTTTCTCTCTCCTTGTGCAGTACTGGTGTTTTCAGATCACTGATTTTGGTTAGCATCCTTTGTCTTAACCACAGCAGCAGCAGAGCTCCTCCAAGGCCAGAGGTAGGATGAGAAAAGCTGTCCATGTGTAGCAAAGGATAGTGGCCCACTGGAGCTTTCTGTCTTATAGTGTAGTTCTAAGATTTCTCTGATTTAGTGGGTTTTCTTACCAGTTTTCCCCCCTCTCTTTTACATTTTATGTAAGTTACAGAAAGGAGCTGACAAATAGTGTAGCAAAAGTGGAGAGACAGAAGTGGTAAGCAGTAGCCATTCTAACATGCCAAGGCTTCAGATAGTGGAAAACTGAGAGCTCTTTAGAGTAAAAACAACTGCCAACACCTGCATTTTTCTGAACTTTCAGGAATAGCATATCTCTTCTGCAGATAGGGGAAAAGGGGTCAAGCTAGACTCTTAAAATGCAGTGATTTCTAGGTTGATCTAATTACAGCTAAAAGCACCTCTAGCATCTGTCCAGAGAACTAGCATTTTAAAGAACAGTATCTCCTTGACATTGAGCCTCAGTCCATACTGAAGGCTGCAGTCCTTGACCCTTCGCAGCAAGTGCATGAGGTCCTCCTCAGTTTCAGCAAGCAGG